AGTGCATGGAAGAGAGCCCCGAGCCCCTTGTGCCTGTCCCCCAGCCCCTCCTCCCCCGCCCCCTCCTCCTCCTCCTCCTAATCGCACAGTCGAAGATGTCGAGGACACTCGGGGACCTGGAAGGAGGCGAAAGAGACCTCGCGCATGAAAGAGAGGTAGTATCCGTCTGGGCGGGGAAGAGAGCGAGACAAAGGGTCAAGCGGAAGAGGAGGAGGAGGTAGAGGAGGAGGAGGATAAAGAGCAGAAGGAGGAAGGAACAAGGAATTAGGATCAAGTAGTAAGGAGTAAGGAGTGATGGGGTGTGGAGGTGTGGGGGAGGAGTGAGAAGTGAAACAGGAGGAGGAGGAAGGAATGTGGATTGTTGCTACTGGTCTACCTCATTGAGCTCAACGGTAAGGTCCATCACCTCCACATGGTTCCTCCTCCTCCTCCTCCTCCTCCTCCTCCTCCCCCTCTATCCTCACATCTTCTGCTTGGTAGGACGAGGACGGTGATGACGGCAGGAGGGTCTACCATGTAGAGGTGATGGACCTTCCCGTTGAGCTCTATGAGGTAGACCAGTAACAACAATCCACATTCCTTCCTCCCCCTCCTGTTTCACTTCTCACTCCTCCCCCACACCTCCACACCCCATCACTCCTTACTCCTTACTACTTGATCCTAATTCCTTGTTCCTTCCTCCTTCTGCTCTTTATCCTCCTCCTCCTCTTCCTCCTCCTCCTCTCACGCTTGTCCAGCTGTCCGTCCAGCTTCTCCACCAGGATGGAGACAACAAGCAGCTCATCGGCGAGGTCTCTTTCGCCTCCTTCGAGGTCGCCGAGTGTGCGCGACATGGACGACTGTGCGAAGAGGAGGAGGAGGAGGAGGGGGGAAGGGAGGAGAAGGCGATGGAGGTGCAGGAGGAAGAGCTGAGGAAAGTCGAGGCTCTGACGAGATTGATCGCCTCCTGCCCTCCTCATTCGCCGGTGTGTGAGGTTAGATATTCTTCGATCACTTCCTCCTCCTCTCTCCTCCTCCCTCTCCCTCTCCCTCTCCCACTCCCACTCCCACTCCCTCTCCCTCTCCCTCTCCCTCTCCCTCTCCCTCCTCTCCCTCTCCCTCTCCCTCTCCCTCTCCCTCTCCCTCTCCCTCTCCCTCTCCCTCTCCCTCCTCTCCCTCTCCCTCTCCCTCTCCCTCTCCCTCTCCCTCTCCCTCTCCCCTCTCCCTCTCCCTCTCCCTCTCCCTCTCCCTCTCCCTCCTCTCCCACCTCTCACTTGCTCGCTTCAGAACAGCTCTCACTGCTCCTCCCATGGCGTCTGCGTCAGAGGAGCGTGTCTCTGTGAGGGCGATTGGATTGGCGTCTCCTGCAACCACTCCCTCCTCCACCATCGCTCCTTCCTCCCCTCTCCCTCCTCCTCCTCCTCCCGCTGCCAGCAGAGCCGATGGTGGCTGGAAGGAGAAAGGAGGTTGCGGTACGAGCTGGAAGAGCTTCACTCTGTAGGCCGATGTGGAGCAGGAGGGATGAGGTTTCATACGAGGATGCACGGGCTGGGGGCGCAGGTTCATTATCTTTCCGAGGGGCTCACGAGCGCATGGAGGAAGGGAAATGCTCTGCTGCTCGCCGGCAACTCCTCGCGGGCTGTTGAGTGCGGGAGGAGGAAGATGAAAGGAGGACACGAACTTGCTCGAGAGCTCTACAGGTGGTGAACCTCCTCCTCCTCCTCCTCCTCCTCCTCCTCCTCCTTATTCTGCTTCAGCTGCTTCCTTCAGCCTTTCTCTGAGTGCCCGGAGGAGCCGCATGAAGACTCGACTCGTCACGAGCCCGAACCGAACTCGCGCTACACGGGCAAGGAAGTGCAGGAAGGTGAGGAGGAGAGGGGCACGAAGGGGCGAGGGAAGGGGGAGGGGGAGTAGAAAGGACCAGAACGTTCAGAGGGGGGGAGAGCAAGAGGGGTAGGAGTGAGGGGAGGAGGAGGAGGAGGGCGGAAGGAGGAGGTCGATCCAGTGCTTGTGGTGACGGGGTGGCAGTGCCCAAGGGTTCTCGGTTCTGGTGGAGAATGCAAACAGTCTCGTTCCTCCTTCGTCCTTCTCCTGCGCTCGAGGCTCAACTGCGACTGGTCAGACAGAGGGAGGAGGAGGAAGAGCACGAGGAGGAGGAGGAGGAAGAGCACGAGGAGGAGGAGGAGGAGCACGAGGAGGAGGAGGAGACTGAAGGGAAGCAGGTGAAAGCGGCTCTTCGACTTCCTCCATCTTACATCGCGATGCACATTCGCCATGGAGACAGCTGCATGCATGCGACTATCTCCTCCTTCCGCCCAAAGGTGCTTCCTCCCCCTCCCCTCCCCCCCCCCTCCCCTCCTCCTCTTCCCTCCCCTCCTCCTCTTCCCTCATCTGCTCTCAGTGCGTTCCATTCGACGTCTACCTGGAGCGAGCGATCGAGATGAGCAACCTCTATAACGTCAAGCATGTCTACCTCGCCACCGACGACCCTCAGGTCCAATTCCATCATCATCATCATCGTCGTCATCATCATCATCGTCGTCGTCATCATCATCATCATCATCAGCATCATCATCATCATCATCATCATCATCATCATCATCATCGTCATCGTCGTCGTCGTCGTCGTCATCATCATCATCATCGTCGTCGTCGTCGTCGTCGTCATCATCATCATCATCATCGTCATCACTATCTCAATCATTATCATCGTCATCATCATCTTTCTCTCATCTTCTTTCAGGTTGCAGCAGCCGCCAGCAGGGAGCAGCGTCTCGAGTTCTTTCAGGCAAGTCGGAGGCCTGACGGGTCACGAGCTGAGAAAAAGCAGCTGGACTTTGACAGAAGCGTGCTGGAGGGCGACTGGTTCCTCGAGTTTCGATCCCAGCTGGGGTTGGCGGATGCTTTTGTGAGGAGGAGGAGAAGGAGGAGGACGAGGACGAGGACGAGGACGTTATGACGGTTGTACTTGCAGGAGATCACTCAGTCGGCTCTTATCGATCTCTTCCTCCTCTCTCAAGGCAATTTCTTCGTTGGAAGCTTTGCTTCTCATTTCAGTCGCCTCGCGTTCGAACTCATGGTGAAAAACCCTCCCTCCCTCCGTCCCCTCCCTCCCCCCCTCCCCTCCCTCCCTCATCTCCCTGCCTGCCTGCCTGCCTGCCTGCCTGCCTCCCCCCACTCCCCCCCCTCGCTCCCCTCCCTCATTCGCTTCTGCTTCAGGTCGCTCGCCTCGGCTTCTTCCCTCCCTTCGCGTCCGTTGACTATCCCTGGTGCTTTCACATGCTCCACAAGGATGAAGTCCCCGGCTACGGGCCCGTCAACTGCTAGGCCCGAGCTGAGCAGCAGCTGGACAAAAGAGGGAGGAGGACAAGCTCGAGTAAATGAGAGATGCTGTGAGAATCGAGCGAGTCGAAGGATTAGCTGAAGGAGGGAGAGACCAAGCTGCTGGTGCTGGTAATGGGTGAGGAGGAAGGGGGAGGGGGAGGGGGAGGGGGAGGCAAGTACGGGATTTACTGCATGAGCTGCTCTAGTAGTCGACGCCTTTGAGGTCGTTGGCGTACTCGGCAGGAACTTCGAGGCCTCCCGAGCATCCGAGGATGTCGTCAGAGCACTTGAAGTCGAGAGCCTGACCAGAGCGTGAGATGAGCGACTGCTGGGAGGAGAGGAGAAGGAGGTGCAAGAGAGGGAGGACGGAATGGATGATGATGACGAGGAGGCGAAGGAGCACGAGGACGAGGACGAGGAGGAGAAGAAGAAGGAGGGGAGGAGGAGGAGGAGGAGGAGGGAGCAGCAGCAGCAGCAGCAGCAGCATAGAGGTTGCAGGTTCTTCTCACATCGTTGTAGTGGGCCCATGAGTGCGCCTCGTTGCTGGGAACTCCGTCGACGCCGATGACAGGACCGCCGGATCCAACGGCAGAGGGAAGAACATCGTCGTTGAGCTGCTCCTGCGTGAGATCGAGCACGACCGAGGAGCACGATGAGGGGCAGGGAAGGGGAGGGGGGGCTGCTGGAGAAGGAACGGGAGGGAGTGAAGGCAGTAGGGGATTGTGACAAGGTGGCACCTGGTTGTCGCCCTCAAGTCCGTACTCAGCAGCCTGAGGATCGTCGGAGCGGAAGAGAGTCTGAGAGCACAACATGAGAAACAAGAGGAGGAGGAGGAGGAGGAGGAGCTGGGATAGCAGCAGGAAAAGCTGGGCGAGAGGAGGACCTGCATCCTGGCCTTCAAGGCCTTCTGCGCTTTCTTGTGACGGTGGTTGATCTTGTTCTTGCGGGCCCAGCCGTTTCCTCCTCCGTTGGCTCCGAAGAAAGCAGCGTTGGTGCCGACCCACTCGGGGGTAGGAGGCTGAGCAACACTGGAGGAAAGTGAGGGAGAGAAAAAGGAGGGGGAAGGCGAAGTAGACGGACCAGAGGAAAGAAAGATTCAGAGAGGAGAACGAGGAAGAAGCAGCAAAGAGCAGGAACAGAAACAGAGGAAAGAAGGAGCAGCAGGAAGAAGCGGGAGAGTGGAGCTAGGAGAGAGGGGGCGGAGAGGAGCGGGAGGAGCAGGATCAAGAAGGTTGACTCACGACTGCTGGCGCTTCATGGATTCCTCGCGCGACCTCTTGGCCTCCTGGGCGTCCTTGGCGGTTAGACGAGGCATGAAAATGCTGTTGGTGCCCATTGGCTCGGCCCCCCAGATGTTCACGTCCTGCTGCGCGGCGTTGGGCACGAGGTTGCGGGTACGAAGAGACTGACAGACGTCCAGGTGAGTCAGCGAGAACAAGGAGGCCAGAGAGGCAGAGGACAGCCATCACGGGGAAAACGAGCGCGGGAGAGGTGCAGGAAGAGGAACTGAATAAGCAGCAGCAGCAGCAGCAGCAGCAGTAAAGATCATGAAGAGGAGAGGGGGGAGCAAGACAGAGGAGGAGGATGGGGAGAGAGGAGGGAACGAGTTGGCAAGCTCTTCACCTGGAAGCCAATGGCTTTGCCTCCAAGAGGGCCGAGCGCCCAGTCACCGTCATAAGGGTCGTTGACGTATCCATAGGGTCCGGGGCGATCGCCTCCTCCGTAGGGATCCGAGTAGTCCTCCTCGTTCGTCGCCCTCCCTGAAAAGCCGTTGCCCGGCATGCCCCCGGGGTGAGAGAAGAGCTTGCTGCCTACGGGGATCACCAGGTACTCCTGCAGCATGGCAGCTCTGCGGTAGCGGCCGACAATGGCAGCCTGACGACAGACAGTGAGGATACGAGACGATGCTTTAAAGCTCTCTTGCTCTTGCTCTTGCTCTTGCTCTACATTGGACTTCGCTTGCTCCCACCTTACTCCTTGTCTTTCCGTACGTGCCTCTCCCTCTGCCCCACCGTCTCTCCAACCACATGATCACAAATATGAGTGCGCATCAGAACCCTTGCCTCTAACCTACAGATGTATGAAACACTTCGATCCTCTGCTCCCTTCCCTCCTCCCGACTCTTTCTCCTTCACCTTGCCTTCCCTGTTCCTGCGCTCACTTCTTCCACCTTCCCCCTCTTCCCCTCTCCACCTCTCCCTCTCTCGCTCTCGCTCTCGCTCTCTCCCCCTCGTCCCTCCCTCCCTCCCTCCCTCCCTCCCT